AGTGAGTGAGTGAGTGAGTGAGTGAGTGAGTGAGTGAGTGAGTGAGTGAGTGAGTGAGTGAGTGAGTAAGTAGGTAAGTAAGTAAGTAAGTAAGTAAGCAAATAAGTGATTGAGTGAGTGAGTGAGTAAGTAAGTAAGTAAGATCAACAATACTACGTGTGAAATTGTTATCTGTACCCTCTCCACCTCAGTCGTGTGGCGGTTCGGCACTTCACCGTCACAACAAGACGTTTTGCCCATCTTTTTGTACCACCGTTTAGGCTACCGGACTCGTAAACGTGAGGTTGCAGGATCGGGGGTTCGAGTCGCAGGCCCGATGTTGTGTCCTTTGGAAAGGCACTTTGCACGAATTTTCGCCACTTCACCTAGGTGGGAATGGGTACCCAGCTATAGACAGCGAAAGATCTTGTCAGTATGTTAGTGTTTTAGCGCCTATAAATGGCTGCTTGCACTGTATACTTCCCAGAAAGTTGAATTTGTTTCAGAATGTTCTCAGGTCTGCTGGGGTAATTGTATAGATTGTGAAGCGCATAGAGCTTGCTGATGAGAGGGGATTGCTTCTGTACAAATGATATATCTTATTATCTATTATTATTAAATCAGCCCAGAGAAGTTATTTTCTTAGTGAGCAAAGAGCAGCTGCCACGACAGCAAAGATCGTACATAACAAGATGGTTCACTCCTCTCTTTGAGCCAATTAAAAAAGTGTAATCAAAATTCGGTGGCACCCTCTTCGAAAGCGCGCGGATTTTGCGATCAGAGTTACCCTACTTGTGTGAAAAAAAACAATAAAAGTGAAGCAAACAAACTTTGCTCTTCCTTTCTTTTTCTTCTGGAGAAACGAAAGAGAACTTCAAGACAAAGACTACGGCGCCGTCTGAACCAATGTGCGGACTTCCGCGGACACTTTTTTGGCTGAGTGAACTGTCTTGTTATGTACCATCGTTGTAGTGAGCAAACATCGTGGCCATGACAGTGTCCGGTGTGGGATATCATAATTCAAGTTTATACTCTACACTATAGAAAACGTTGCTTACATCTACAGTGTGAAGTAAAGCGTTTTCTGTTTTTCTGTAAGAGCTTTACGGCACTTGCAACACAATAAGGTCACATAAATGCCGAAGATTAGAGGTGTTACAAGGGAGTAACCAACACAAAAAAGAAAGAGGGGAGATTAAGCTGATAGTTGTTTGATATGAAAGAAGGAGCAAATCATATCACAGCACCCACCAACCACCCTCCGTTCTCCTCATAAAAGTACATTTCACGAAACTTACAAAGTGTGAACAATTGTAATTTATTCTGAAGATTAAGCAACAGCCACCGGACCGTGTGATTACTCCGGTAACCTACAATCGATCCCAACACAGGACGACTGAGATTTGACTGAAAATTCGTTACCAGCCTGAAAGTTTAGCGGTGGGGGTCAAACCGCATTATGGGGAGAATGTAGACGGATTTGGAATCAAAAACATTCTTGGTTAGGAAGCCACATAACATACTCTCACGATAGTCAGACAGTCACTCGGGCATGTAGGAGGCACACTGATCTACCTAACACAGGGGATAGACTAGAAGTCGGATTTTCTGGTTGTACCGTCTCGGATTAATTAAAGCGGACAACGTTGTCTTGTGAGGTAAGAAAGAGTTCACAGCGGATGTAACAGGCATTGTCTTGCCAACTAAAGGTTGTCTTTTTACCCTGCTAATTTCTTAGTTTAGCTTTTAGTTTAAGTAGAGTTTTACGGCGCACGGATTTTCTGGTTGTACCGTCTCGGATTAATTAAGACGGAGACAACGTTGTCTTGTGAGGTAAGAAAGAGTTCACAGCGGATGTAACAGACATTGTCTTGACAATAAAGGTTTTGTTTTTTCCCCTGCTAATTTCTATTAACTGGCGCTTTTGTGTTTAGTTGTTTCAACAAAATGGGCAACGTTTCAGATTTCAAAGTTTACTGCTGGTGAAAGCAAAGAGGAGATACACTGCTTGCCCATAAAGTTCTGTCCTGGTTATTATTTTCGTCATTGCAGTTTTACTTCATTTTTATATGTATTTTTGGTTATAATACTTATAAAAAAATTACTCCTCGAAGTAAAACCATAGAGCCAGAAGGAAGGTGTTACAACTACTGTTTAGTAATTAATTGTTCTAATCATGTTAGTCCAACAGTAACTTTCAACTGCTCTTTCCAATCACAAGGTAGCTACGAGTATTTGCTGACTGGCGTCCATTGTAGAACGGTTAGGCCCTCCTATTTTTATCTTTTTTTTTTTTTCCTTTTGTAGATCTAGGTGCATTATGGCGCTTGCAACTGCATGAGGTCACGTGAGAGCGTAGGACACAGTAAACATTTTCAATTACTAGGAAATTTTGAATTTTGCCCGAGTGGCGGCTGAAACCTACCCGTATCGATTTAAGACCACCAAGGGATCTTTAACGCGCGCAACTTGCATGCGAGGACCTCCGAGATTTTTCGCCCCTGTCCGAAAAGGCTAGGTGTAGATTTTTCCTACCATAATATCAAGGATGGGGCTGAAAGACAGCAGTAAGAAGGAACCAAGGAGTAACAGTAGAAAGGCTGCAGAAAGAGTCAGGAGCCCAGAGGTGGGGGCAAAGGAGGTGAGGGGGTGGGGACAGAAAGTGGAGACGAAAGCAGACGACAGAACATTACTAGATAGCAGGAAATGAGGTGAAAAGAGCCAATTTCAAAGAAGAAAATTGTTCGGTCGCTACCCGGATTCGAACGTGGGGCCTTTGAATGAGACGCGAACACCTTAACCTCTAGGCCACGAGAGCCCCTGGTTAGCCCCTCCTCCGTAGCACACAGGGGACCCGAGTTTCGATTCTCGAGTAGGGAAAATAAAATCTGTGTCTTGTTTCTTTGTCTATCTAAAGGAGTGTTGTGTCCCTCTCAGCCTGGGTTGGTCCTAACAGGCAGAGTCGAAGCCCGACTCATAAATTAAATTATGACGAAGATTGAGTCAGTGAGGGCGTGAAAGGCCCTACATTTAAACAATAATAACCGTGTAAGCTGTCATCTGTGACCGACTCGTGATCTGCATAGCGCAACGTCATCAAGCCAAACAATGAAATTGCTTGGTTTTTGTTTTGTCTATCTATTTATTCTTTCTTTTTTTTTTTAGTTGCTGTTGTTTTCTTCTTTTTTTTGGTGTGTTTTTTGGTTTGTTTTTTAATCTATTCCTGTGTTAATGACAAGACTAATGGCCAAGTCGTGGACTTGTGTAGGAAATAATCCTAGCTTAGTTTTAACGCCAGTGGAGGCTAATTTCCGCCCCGGGAAGGGAGCTGACATACAGACGACATTTTCAGTGAATCTTCCAAGCAACACAGCCCTCCGAAAAAAGTAAATGAGAAAAAAAAAAAGATTTCTGTTCTTTGTTTGTTCGTTTTTTGTCTTGATTTGTTTACGTTTCGGTTTTTTTTTTCTGTTTTCCAGACGTTTTCACGTTAAAACAAACAATTATTAGCTTACCTTTGCGAGTTAAGTTTTTCTGGATCGTTTCATTTCCCGTTTCCTTCCCACGTCCTCTGAGATTGCCTGTGGGCGGTTGGCGGATGTTCTGGTGTGGTATGCTCCTTTTTACCTATTAAACATCTATCATTCTTATCTCCCCTCCTTCTTTTTTGTGTTTGTTACTCTGTTGTAACACCTCTAATCATCGGCACTTATATGACCTTATTGTGTTGCAAGTGCCGTAAAACTCTTACTTTAAAAAATGAGATTGCCTTCCAACAACAAACACTCGAGTCAAATATAAACTTTTAGATTTCACATCATGAGGTTTTGCACACAAAAAAAATATTTGCTTTGTAAATTTCTTTTTTTGACGAGTCATGAAACTGTCATGACGTGGTGGAATCAGGCGCTCGTCAATTTTTATGCATGTGGAGTTATTTGTATCATTTTAAAGCGTGTTCATTTACATATCTTTTAATGAAAATAATACCGCTTTAAAGTGAATAAATGTCGAGATATTTGCGATTGAAAGAGTTGGGATCACCTGATTTCAAAAGTAACATTAGCAAGAAATAGGCCGCCAAATTTTGGTAACTTCCAAAGCTTGACAGTCGTTGAAAACTGAAGATTTACTTTTTGTTAGCCTTTAATCATCGTTTTTTTTTCTTTAGAAAAATAAAAACAGAAATATGTTTTTAGATGGAAATAAAAGGTGTAAACCCCCCTAAAAAATTCGATAAAAATTAGCAACCCATAGGAAAATTGCTGATATTTTCGATTTCATTATTTTGACCACGGTGCCTCACCATAGTGTTTGTGGCTAATAGCTCCGTTTTGACTATTGCGCCTTTCCCTGGTTTTCAAAGGCTGGGTTTTTTTAAAGATAAGATCAGATATTAAGATCAAATCAGATGAGATGAGATGAGATGAGATGAGATGAGACAAGATTAGATCTTTATAACCCATATGCCGGCGCATTCGTTTGGTGCTCTATAAGAGAAGATTGATTTCATTGATGTGTATATTTGATTGGTTATAGAAAAAAACCCTCTACTAGAAAAAAAATTTGACTTTTAAAGAAACTGGTTAAGGAGCAAAATCTTTTATCTTCGATTTTATCAAAACAGCATTTTTGGGGGAAAGCCCCCTTGTGCCTCAAAGCGACTTTTTCACCTGTATTCCCCAGAGTGACCCCCTACGGAAGTCCAACATTTGGTGACCTACTTCCTTCCTCGGCCAGACGTGAGCTTCTGGACCTGGGACCAACTCAGCCATGCCGGCCGCTAAGTATTTAGCTTCTATCTTTAGAATATTTGTCCAGTCTCTCTCTCTCTCTCTCTCTCTCTCTCTCTCTCTCTCTCTCTCTCTCTCTCTCTCTCTCTCGCACACACACACACACACACACACACACACACACACACACACACACACACACACTTACACATACACACAATCACACATACAAATTTTGGATCTTCATTCAGTTTCTTGAAAAGACAAGGAGAGTTTTCTCTATACCCAAACAAATATACACATAATTGAAACCAAACCTGTCCTATATGTAGGGCAATGCCCACTTTTGGTGTAGGTCAAGATTTCAGGAAACCCCCGAAATCTGGGTTAGCCCGCTTGTCCTTAATAAATAAGCGAACATTTGAGGCTACTAAAATGTTAAAATTCACTGAAGGCCATTTTAAGCTCAACAACAATAGGTGTTAGAATGGGATGGGATTAGACGCTCGTCAATTTTTGGCCTTGTGGAGTTATTGACATCATCTGAAAGCATATTCATATGCCTTGCTCTTTGTGAAAAAAGCGTCCTTCTAACTAGAATAAAAGTCAAGATATTTGCGGTTGAAGAAGGTGAGGTAGCCTGGTTTCAGTGATTAAATTACTGGAAAAATTACCGCCAACGTTTGGTAGCTTCAATAGCTTAAGAGTTCTAGAAAAATATTTTTGACAAAAATGTCCTGTCCTTCTTTGGGTTTTGTGATTATTCCACCGAGAAACGAAACAAATCTGCGTTAGCTGTCCTTCACAACGGAAGTGCCGGAAGTGATATTTCGCGAGGTGCATTTTGTTTTGAGAGTATATATATCTATACCTTCTAATTTTGTGCGTCTCTCAAGATTTTTTGTTCCTTTCCAGTAGAGTGTAAATATAGTAGGCCAATAACTTTCAGTTGATGTTAAAACATCGATCATTCCTTTCATGGAAAGGGGACCCAGCTAGTTAATAATAATAATAATAATAATAATAATAATAATAATAATAATAATAATAATAATAATAATAATAAATAGCATTTGTGTAGCGCATGTTCCCACTCGAAAGCAAACTCTATGCGCTTTACACTATATTATTACCCTAGCAGACCATAGAACACTCAGAAATATTTTCAACTTCCTGGGAAGCATACAGTGCAAGCAGCTGGTTAAGGGCTCAAACACTAACAAACTGACAAGATCGTTCACTGTTTATAGCTGGTACCCATTCCAAACTGGGTGAGGTGGGGGAAATTCGTGTAAAGTGCCTTTCCCAAGGACACAACATCGGGCCTGCGGTTCGAACCCCTGAACCCGCAACACAGTCTTTGTCTGACAAAACGCCTCTTTCTTATTCACAGCCTTTTCGAGAAATCAGCTTTTTTCGTTTTCTTATAATAATATTTAAACTATTTTGTACAGTACATCAACGGTTGATCTCTCACCCTGAAGAGAAATGTCATTGCCTGTGCTCAACAGAAAACAAAACCGAAAATCGCTGATTTCTCGAAACTGCAGTGAATAAGAAAAAGGCGTTTTGTCAGAGTACGGCAGAACACTGTATGCACTGTTTGTCCACCCCTCGGGGCAGTGCCACTGACTGTAGTGTGTTTACGCCATTCCCAAAGGGAGGACAGTAGAATTGTAAATGGGCTGATTCATCATGCCACGCTCATAACTGTGCCTGATCTGCAACAGGGAACTGCTGCTTTTTCTTTCCTTATCCTGACTATTGTCATTTTCCTCTACTTCTTTTGTATGTTTGTCACTCTCTTGTGACCCGCTATTTCCGGGGTGCCTTGATAGTCGAAGCAGACCTTGTACTGTTGAAGCTAAAGAGGTGAGCAGAGTAAGTCCGATTCCCTGTAAGGACTTCTCTGTTGACACCCACCACTTGGCGCTCATATGACCTTATGCAGCGCCGTAAAAGCCTCTACTAAAATAAAATAAAAACTGTTTGTCCGCAGCATGGACTCCATCATGAACAAGTTCGCGGCGGCTGTGGTCGTAGAGCCAATCAAAGACGACGACTTCGTGGACCGCCTACATTATCACGTGACCGTGGCTGTGCTGTTTACCCTGACCGTCGGGTCCGGAATGAAGGCAAGTACAGCTGCCCCAGCAAGATGAACGACGCACAGGAAGGGTGGACCCTGGGGGGAGAGGGGGGTTGTCCGTGTGTGTGTGTGTGTGTGTGTGTGTGTGTGTGTGTGTGTGTGTGTGTGTGAGTGTGAGTGTGTGTGTGTGCGTGGGTGTTATTGTGTGTGTGTGTCTCTCTCTCTCTGTGTATGTCTCTCTCCCTCTCTATATCTCTCTCTGTCTCTGTCTCTCTCTCTCTCACACACACATACACACACCCACCCAAGTGACCATCCATCTAAACCCGGTGACACTCCCAGCCTCCCCCCCCCCCACACACACACCTCAGGGCAGTGTTACTGACTGAAGTGTCTGTAGGCCGTTCCCAAAGGAGGGATATTAACATGTTCTTTGTCACAGAAGAAATATAAATGGGCGGATTTATCAATGTCATGCTCATACTGTGCCGGAACAACATAGGGGGAACTGCTGCTTTTTTCCCTCATCGTTACTATCGTCATGTTTCCTCTACTTCTTTTGTATGTTTGTCACTCTCTTGTGAACTGCTATTTCCTAGGTGCCTCGATAGTCGAAGCAGACTTTATTATGCTGTTGAGGCTAGAGAGGTGAGCAGAGTAAGCCTGATTCACCGTTTTAGACTTCTCTGTTGGTATCCACCCCTCGGCGCTCATATAATGATAGATAACTTTTGGAAAGCGCAAATTCCAGCTCAACAACAAGCTCTATACGCTTCGCAATCTATACCATTCCCCCAACAGATATGAGAGCATTTTTAAACAACATCAACGTCCTGGTAAGCATACAGTGCAAGCAGCCATTTAGAACCTGCGCTAAAACACTAACATACTGACAAGATCTTTCGCTGTCTATGGCCGGGAACCCATTCCCACATAGGTGAAGTGAGGAAAATCAGCGTAAAGTGCCTTTCCCAAGAACAGAACGTGCGCCCGTGGCTCGAACCTCCTAACCCGCAACCTCACGATTATAAACCCGGTAGCCCGATGTGTATGTGTGTGTGTGTGTGTGTGTGTGTGTGTGTGTGTGTCTGTGTGTGTGTGTGTGTGTGTGTGTGTGTGTGTGTGTGTGTGTAGTCCGGTGTGTGTGTGGGGGGGGGGGGTTCACTATGTCACCTCATGCATGTAATTCGTAAGAGCACCGTAAAACCTCAATACAACTAACTCACCTCTTTTTTTTATTTTTTAGTAATTGTTTTACGGCACTTGCAACACAATAAGGTCATATACATGCCGAAGATTAGAAATGAAAAGGTGAAATGGTATGGGTTTAACGCCCCTATCAACACTATTAGGTTATTTAAGGGGCGGGACCTCCAAGTTTAACGTCCGTTTCCGATAGGACCGAGCCATGTGGGAAGTTCGTGTAAAGTGCCTTTTCTAAGGACACAACGTCGGACCGAGCTGAGGCTCGAACCCCCCGAACCCGCAATCTCACGATTACGAGTCCGGTAGCCTAACCACTAGGCTACCCACGCACCGAAGATTAGAGGTGTTACAAGAGAGTAACAAACATAAACAAGAATGGGAGATAAAGACGATAGATGTTTGATAGGAAAGAAGAAGCAAACCACACCAGAGCACCCGCCAACCACCCACAAACTCACCTCCCCCCCCCCTCCTGTAGGAGTATGCGTCTCACCCCATCGACTGTTGGATGCCCCCCGGCCTCACAGACGCCTCGGTACAGAATCACATCAACAGCTACTGCTGGACGGCGCCACTGCGCTACCCAAAGTACAAGGTCTCAGCGCCTCAGAATGACTGTAAGACTTGTTTCTGTGTGTATGCCTTTTTGTATTTGTGTGTAAGACTTGTTTCTGTGTGTATGCCTTGTTGTATTTGTGTGTAAGACTTGTTTCTGTGTGTATGCCTTGTTGTATTTGTGTGTAAGACTTGTTTCTGTGTGTATGCCTTGTTGTTTTTGTGAGTAAGACTTGTTTCTGTGTGTATGCCTTGTTGTTTTTGTGTTCAAGCATTATTGTTATTGTGGTCACAGTGCTTCAGAATGACTATAAGACTTGTTTTGATATATGGAACAGATTTTTGTTGGTGGTGTCTGGATTGTGGATTTTTACGGATTTTTTGAAAACTTCGATGCTACCTCAGGAAAAAATTCATTAAAAAATGTCTAATTCGTTTAGGAAAAAAACAACAGACAAATATTTAGATCTAATGTTTGTGAAAACGCATTCAAAAAAACATTTTATTTCCAAGAGCGATAAGAGCGATATTCATTACGTAAGACATGTCAACAAAATCCAATATGGCCGCCGTATCCAAGGAAACGAAACTTTTTCTCAAATTTGATTGCGGATTTAAAGACTCCTTACTATGCTTGTTATATGTTTGAAATTTGGTAAAATTCGGTCATGTAATAAGCGAGATAGCCTTCAGGTGTAGCCCCCCCCCCCTCCCCCCCTTAAAGAATATGGCATTAATAGAAAATCGACAAATTTGACCCTTGTTTTGATTTTATTTTATTTATTTATTTATTTATTTATTTATTAATTTTATTTGTATATAAATTTTTTAAAAAATTTTTTTTTTAATTTGGGGGGGGGGGGGGGGGGGGGGCAATATCTCCATTTGTGGACTGCGAGAAGTAACTCCTTTTGTCAGGACGGTACGTCACTTTTAGAGTTCGTACCAAAAGAGGGTCCCAGCATTGCGGGTTGTACTGAATTCTACGGCACTTGCAACACAACTAGGTCATATACGTGCGAAGATTAGAGGTGTTCCAAGAGGGCAACAGAGACAAAAAAAGGAGGAGAAATCACGGCAATAGGTGTTGAATAGGACAAAAGACGTAAACCACCAACAGAGTACCCGCCAACCACCCACATATTGGGTTTACCCCCTCCGGAGATAAAGTGTTAATTCAACTGGCAGTTTATAAAAAAAGTAAAATTGTTCCCGCATCCGATCCGGACTTTGGGGTTTGCCTTGTTAGTGAGACAACGTCCTGGGCCTTTGGCATACTGTGGTAGGGTGGCCAGTTCCTTTCCACACCTCCGTTACTTCCCCAACTCGAAGTCAGGTACCCATTAAACTGCTGGGTGGGCGGGATGGGGCGAAAAAAATCCGTGTCCCAACTTAGGCTCGAACGCGGACTTTCCGCTTCGGAGACGAGCGCACTATTTGCTCCACCACCTATGTACACGGAATAAACTTCGTCATTTAAAAAAAATTAATATTAATGTATTCTAACTCGTCCACAGCCAACCCCATCCCCCTGTTGGAGCAATCCGAGTCGCAATCGTTGACCCATATGAGAACTGCCTTCTATCGTTGGGTCACTCTGCTCTTTATAGCCCAGGTAAGCTTCACACAACACATACACTCACTCACACACACAAACAAATACACACATACACACACACAAACACACACACAAACACACTCACACACATACATATATATCTACACACATACACACACACACACACACACACACACACACACACACACACACACACACACACACACACACACACACACACATACAAGTGAAACTATCTCTTTAAACTCCATCAAACGCTGGGAGCGTCCGGCACTAATAACCCTGTTCCCCATCGGACGCTGGGGACGTCTGTCTGTTATAACCGTGCTCCATATCGGACGCTGGGGGCGTCTGTCTGTTATAACCGTGCTCCATATCGGACGCTGGGGGCGTCTGTCTGTTATAACCGTGCTCCATATTGGACGCTGGGAGCGTCTGTCTGTTATAACCGTGCTCCATATTGGACGTTGGGAGCGTCTGATACTAGATCTACTGACAACTGTTTCGCTTTTTTTAGTGTTAGTTTTTTTTAATCAGAAATATTCCCGATCCAAGTTTTTTAAAACAAGAACTAAGCCTTTGTTTTCGCTATTTAGAAGTTGCAGGCAATCTTTGGGGTTATAATGAGACATAGAGCACCAGGTTTAAGTGACAGTAGAAAAAAACTCCGGGAAACGGTGCAAAAAAAAACTCAGGGTTTAAAGAGTTAAAATCCACCTTTCCACCATCTCCTTCCAGATCATTCTGTTCCGGCTGCCCAACTCGATCTACCGCAAGCTCCACACCACCACGGACATCCGGCGGATCCGAGACTTGGTGGTACAGGCTCAGAGCGAGGAGGACGAGAAGAAAAAGGAGAAGGAGCTGAACGAGGTGGTCACCACTTTTGAGGACTGGATCATTGGCTATAAGGACGAGAACGACGTCGAAAAACCAACCGAAGGCTTCATCGAGTTGACGATGAACTGCGGCTCGGGGAAGAAATCTGGGCGGTATTGGTCTGCGCTGTATCTCGGGATGAAACTTCTCAATCTGATCAACACGGTCGGGAATTTCGTGCTGATAACTCTGAGTCTTGACTTCAACTTCTGGAAGTATGGCTTGGTTCTCATCTACAGCCTCATCGTTCACGGAGATTGGCACGACCCCTACAACTTCCCACGACTCCTCATGTGTGACTTCGCCGTAGAGGGCGCTCAGGCCAGCGAGTTGACCAACGGGAACAGCACGTCCGTCGTCTTCCAGCTACAGTGCACCATGTCTATCAACGAGCTACTGGAGAAAATCTTCGCCATCGAGTGGTTCTGGCTGATTTTCTTGTTCGTCACCACTTTGGTGAACCTATTCCGGTGGATCATCAAAACCATCCCGCCTCTGAATGTCTTCTACTTCGTGAAGGACTACGAGTCGTCCATGAAGTCGTTCGGCACTGTAGAGAAAGGAATCTCCGCCATCATCACGGGGACGCTGGACGAGTCTGTGTACGACAAGGAGAAGAGGAACAGAGAGGAGTTTATCCTCAACTACCTCAAATGTGACGGCGTCCTGGTGCTCCGGATGCTGGACATGAACCATGACCGCACGGTGGTTCTGGACATCGTCAAGTCACTGTGGCTCAGGTACCACATGAACAAACACTTGCACTTTGACCCCGAGAAGGTGGCCACGGCCCTGGTACACATGGAATCCGAGGAGGAAGAGGAGGACGAGGAAAGGAACGAGTAAAAGGGGGGAAAGCCTCCATAACATGGAATAGGCGAAGGGAGAGAAATACTATTAATAATAATAATAGATAGCATTTGTGTAGCGCACATCCCCGCTCAACAGCAGGCTCTATGCGCTTTGCACTATATTATTACCCCAGCAGACCATAGAACACTCCGAAACATTCTCAGCTTCCCGGGAAAGGAAAAGGAAAAGGAAGAAGAGCCTCAATAAGTGAAAGCACAGCCTTACTTTGTAGACATGGAATCGATGGATGGAGAGGAAGACGAGGAAAAGGACGAGGAAAAGAGAGGAAAACCCCAATAACATGGAATCCGCAGAGGGAGAGAAGGACGAGGAAAAGGACGAGGAAAAGGGAAAGGAAAAAGGAGGAGAGCCTGAATAATATGGAATTGGCGAAAGGAGAGAAGGACGAGGAAAAGGGAAAGGGAAAGGGAGGAAAGCCTCAATGATATGGAATCCGTGGGAGAGAAGGAGGACGAGGA